TAACTGAGCCATCCATGTTACTAACCATGGCCTTCTTTCCTACTCACCTCTCTGGCCACTTTTCTTCCACCCAAGCTAACTCATTCTACTTAATGAGATATTTGAAAGCTGCAGTTTCCCAAGAAGCAGTATGAGGCTCTGGTCATTTCTCTGTCTGTATTAGGTGACCTCCTACATGTCCGTGACCATTCATGTTCAAGACTTGGAGGTTCAGTTTTCAGTGCAGAGCTGCTGCTCCTGAGTTCCCACCAGAACACTTTATTGCTTTTTTTTTTTTTTTGATGGAGTCTCACTCTGTCACCAGGCTGGAGTGCAGTGGTGTGATCTCAGCTCACTGCAACCTCCGACTCCCTGGTTCAAGTGATTCTCCTGCCTCAGCCTCCTGAGTAGCTGGGATTACAAACACGTGCCACCACACCCAGCTAATTTTTGTATTTTTAGTAGAGACAGGGTTTCACCATGTTGGCCAGGATGGTCTTGATTTCCTGATGTCGTGATCCACCTGCCACAGCCTCCCAAAGTGCTGGGATTACAGGCGTGATCCACCGCGCCCGGCCAAGAACATTCTATTGCTTATTTGATGTTTCCTCATGAATGTCTCAAAGGCATCTTACATCAAACTGGCTTAGTGATCTTTCCTTCCCTGCACCCCAACATCAGAATCTGGTCCTCTGTCTCTGTGACTGGTACCATCATTCATTCACCTGCACACACTAGAAGAAGGGGAGTGATTTCTCACTCTCTCACTTTCTCTTACTACCCCTGTATCTAATCATTAGCTGATCGGTTATTGATTCTACCACCTAAATATGTCGTAAATCCGTTCGTATTTTCTCCATCTCCACTGTGTCTACCTTAGCCCAAACTACCATTCTCTGCAATACCATCCTCTGTAACACCATCTTCTGTCTTCTGAATTATAGCACTCATCTAAACAGTTCTCCCCATATTCCCTCCTACTCCCTCTAATCCAATCACTACATTGTAGTCAAGAGAACTTTTAAGAATTGCTCATAACGACTCTATTGTTTAAACCCTTTGATGGTTTCCTATTTTCTTATGATAAAGACTCAAATACTTAATATGGCCTAAAACAATCTGCATAATCTGGTTTTTCAGCCTCATCTCCTGCTACTCACTACCCACTTTATTCACCGTAACACACCAGCCTTTCTTCTACAATTTGCAATGAGCCGCGCTCATGTCAACCTGGCCTTTGCATATGCTGTTCCCCTTTCCTGGATATCTAGATATCCTTCAGGAGATACTTCTTATTACTCTCTGAAGGAGATAATCTTCAAACCTTCAACTCAGTTCCCACAGGTAACTCTTCCAATACCCTAGACCTCTCATTCCTAGTGTTTACCACAATTCAAATAAAATAATTGTATAGTTATTTCACATTTGTCTCTCACTCTTGAATGTAAGCCTATAAGGGTAGGAACCATGTCTATCACTTCATGACTAATCGCCAGTGCCTGCCACAGTGCTGGGCACACAGCAGCAATTTAACATTTACTATGAATAAGGTAACAGTGCTGGAATCAGGCACTGTTATAAACTCTTCATGTGTAGGAACTCATAGAATCCTGGCAACAAACCTAGAATGTAGGTATTCTTCTTTTTCTCATTTTACAGATGTAAAACAGGTACAGAAAGGTGAAGTAAGCTGCAAATATCACACAGTGGAAAATGGAACTTGAACCTAGCAGTCTAGATTCAAAGCCTGTACTTTTACTTTACTGCCTCAATATTTATTGAAAGCATGCCTGTTTAAATGTTCACTGAAGTGAATTACTCAGAGAATTGCTCATAAACAAATTCATAATTATAGAGCACCTCTACTGTAAAGTTTAACATGATTAACTACGGAGAAGGAGAGGGGTATAAGTACTTTGATACCATCCATACTGGAAACTTAAAATCTTTGCCCATAAGAGATAACCTGTCCAAAGGTGAATACTATTAGATTCAAATAGGTTGAAATAATAATCAAGGCCTTTGTACTTCTTAGGCTCATGAAACTTTGGTTGCTTGTATATATATATACATATATACACACACACACATACACACACACATATATATACACACACACATATATATATTTGCTAATACTTTAAGGCCTTTCTGTGCTGCATTAACCAATCTAAAAAGAGCAAACAAAATGAACATAGGTACCATGGTTCATTATTCCTAGCTTAAATGTTAAACAATGGATAAGTCAATTACATTTTAAATTGTTGCCTTGACCACTGTGGGTTGTCATTTTATTGTGGCTTTGGGAAGAGCAAAAATGCATAGACTAGAACATTGGGCAACTTCCCCTGCCCACAGTTGAGCTCTATTACTAAGATGAGATGCTGTCATCTGTGTTTTCATTTCCATATTTAACAACAAAAGTGGCACTTGCCAACTGTTATAAAGTTGTTCTGAGTAGGGCGTGATGATGTTTGTAAAGTTTGTAGTGCTGGAAGAAAGGTACTAATAAACACCAAAGCACAAACCACTTAAGTAGTGCACTATTTGATGTGAAGCAGATGATTCAAAATGACTCAGTGATGATTAATCTAATGCTCTAAAATACAAATAGGGGATTCATCCCAAGATGTTTCACATATTCTTAGAATATCAGAATTTTAAATTCTTCTATATTTTAAGACTACACCTACAGGATTTTGAAGCAATATTGAGAACTGAACAAACAGTTGATTCCAATGATAGATGACTCAAATGGGCAGAGATTTCTTAATACAGACTGGGAAACTAGAATACATCCAATTCAGGCTTCCCATTAAATCTATAGTGAATGGGTGATCACTCATCCTCCCGTAGGGGATTTACTGGGAATGTCCTCCGCATGCTATTCTGCTGGTTGACTGTTTGCACATGGTGGATTCCCAAAAGCTTTCTGGTAAGAGGAGTGTCCCTCCAGCTATGGAGGGACCAGATCAGCCTAGGCTAGCTGGCCCATGGAGGAGAGTTCTTAGGCTGGCAAAAAACTGGAGTTTGTGAGGGCCTTTAGGGTTGTCAATTCACAACTAAACCTATATGGGACACTATCCTTTGGACTGATTGTCCATTTTAGCTTTTTTTTCTTTCTTAAACAAAAACAAAAACAACTTGAACCCCCATTTTCATAAACATACAATTTTTTTGTATTCTACCTTAATGACAATCGACATTTCAAAATAAATTTTGTGAATAGAAAGAAATCACAGTAAAGGTAAATTTAGAATATGCTTCAAACTACTTAAGCACTGTATCCTCCTGCGTCTGGAGTTGATTTCTTCCAGTGGGTTCCTGCTCTCGCTGACTTCAAAAATGAAGCCCTGGACCTTCCTGGTGAATGTTAGAGCTCTTAAAGATGGCACAAACCCAGGTCAGGCATGGTGGCTCATGCCTGTAATCCCAACACTTTGGCAGGCCCAGGCGGGTGGATCACGAGGTCAGGAGATGAAGACCATCCTGGTTAACACGGTGACCTTCTCTACTAAAAATATAAAAAAATTAGCCAGGTGTGGTGGCGGGCCCCTGTAGTCCCAGCTACTCGGGAAGCTTTGGCAGGAGAATGGCATGAACCTGGGAGGCGGAGCTTGCAGTGAGCCGAGATTGCGCCACTGCACTCTAGCCTGGGCGACAGAGCGAGACTACGTCTCAAAAAAAAAAAAAAGATGGCACAAACCCAAAGAGTGAGCAGCAGCAAGATTTATTGTGAAGAGCAAAAGAACAAAGCTCCCACAACTTGGAAAGGGACCCAAGCAAGCTGCCCCTGCAGGCTGGGGTGGACAGCTTTTATTCCCTTATTTGTCCCCACCCATGTCCTGCTGATTGGTCCACTTTACAGGGTGCTGATTGGTCCATTTTACAAACCTATAGCTAGCTACAGAGCACTGATTGGTGCATTTTACAAAACTCTAGCTAGCTACAGAATGCTGATTGGTGCATTTCACAATCCTCTTGTAAGACAGAAAAGTTCTCTAAGTCCACACCAGACCCAGAAGTACAGCTGGCTTCACCTCTCACTCCCAGAACTACATGGCTGAAGACACATTCCTCCTGGGTGGCACGATCTTCTGTGAATGCCAGGCTAGCGATTCCAGCAGGATGTTCTTGGATGGACCCTGATACCTGGATCCCACATGAAAACTTGGACTTGGTGCCTACATCTAGACTGATGTTTCATCTCATTTATTTTCTAGACAAACTGTGCTGCTCCACGGCATTAGCCTCAATATGTCTTTTGTTTCGTGGAGCCTCCTAGGGATTTAAATTCAAACCGTATCATAAAATACAATAAAGGTTTATTTACAGCACATTGGTTTCATTTGACGTTCCTGTACCAGACTACCCTGGCAATTGGCTAAAGTTTTGTCAGCAAGTTTGCTGCTGGGATTTTTCTCATTTGGTTCAGTTTACTACAGCCTATAGTAAGTGATGCAGATGGGTTTCGCTTCTAACATGCGAACGTGACAACTGTTTTGGTTTGGGTCTATCATTAATCAAAACTGAAGAAGATTATTGGGTTCGATGGTGTAGATTTTGACTTTTATTTCTAGCTTCTGTGTGCTTTGTCGTATTTCCCCTTGCTTCCTAGACGAGGTATGTTTCCTTATCTGATTTTGCATCACTGGAGACAACTCAGGAACCACGAGAGGCTGGATTGGATACCACAAGGAATGCAGCCCTGCCAACAGAGGGACGGATAGAATTAGAGCAAACGGACACATCCCCCCAGCCTGTTCTCCACAGGACAGATTTTATTAATATATTTCTAACATTGGGGCCTCGTTTCAGTCTTCAAAAGTTTTTTTTTTTTTTCCAGCGCAAACCAGACGCGCTCTGAGCCAAAATTAGCGTCCGAGAACCCCACCCCATTCGCCTCCAACGGACCTAGCTCTCCTTTCCGCCCACAAACAGCCGTTACTACAGTTCCCAGCAAGCACCGCGCAGGGCCGCAAAGGGCCACGCCCTCGGCGAATGCCCCGCCCCACAGGAGGCATGCCGGGAGTTGTAGTGAGTGGGCGCTTCCCCATTGCTTCTTGTCCCTTCCACTGGGCATTCCCACTTGGAAGACTGTGAAGCGCTGCCAGAGCAGTTTCTCTAGTTCCGTACTTGGAGCTCAAGGTGACAGAGGACTGCGCCGCCAGCCCTGCGCTGCGCATCGCGTCGGCCCCGCGGACCTTTGCCCCGCCTCCCTCCACACCCGTTCCCTTGACAGCTGGGCTGCGCTCGGGGCCGCGGCTAGCCGCGAGCGCGCAGGCGCAGCAGCCCCGCGCCGCGCTTGGCCGGCCTGGAAGGCGGGACGAGCGCTAGTGGCTCCCGGCCGCCGGGGCGCGCACGTAGGCACGCAGAGGCCGTCACGTGGGGCGCCGAGGATCGCAGTGCGCGTGGCCGTGGCGGCTGGTGTGGGGTTGAGTCAGTTGTGAGACCCGGAGCTGCTGACCCAGCGGGTGGCCCACCGAACCGGCGACACAGCGACAGGCGTCAGGGCTCGGGAGCTGCGAGCCTGGCCTCGTCCTAGAGCTCGGCCGAGCCGTCGCCGCCGTCGACCCCCGCCCCCAGTCAGCAAACCGCCGCCGCGGGCGCGCCCCCGCTCTGCGCTGTCTCTCCGATGGCGTCCGCCTCAGGGGCCATGGCGAAGCACGAGCAGATCCTGGTCCTCGACCCGCCCACAGACCTCAAATTCAAAGGTAGGCAGGACGGGGACACCCCAGGGCTGGCTGGGGCGCGCGGAGGGCTGGCGGGCGGCGGGGGGCGCGGAGGACAACTCGGCCGCCCCGGCCAGAGGGAGCGCCCCCTCCCCCACGCCCCGGCGCCTGTCCTTTCCTGGCTGCTGCCTCGCCGCCGCCTCGGCCGGCCTGCCCCTTGCTCCGGCCCGCTTCATCCCCTCCCGCCCACCCGCGCTGCGGTGCGCGCGCCGGCCGGGGCGAGGCGGACTGGAGCCGGGCCCTGGCGCGGCCGCCGCCGCCGCCATCTTGCGGTCCCGCGGGGGCGCCTCCTGGGTGTCCGGTCCCGCCCGAGCCGCCGTCCGCCCGGGCCCGCGTCCCTGGTCCCCGAGGCGGACGGCGTGCTTCGGCGGGGCGTGGGCGGGTGGGCATCCGCGGGCGTGCGCTCTGGGCTGCGGCGGGGAGTGGGCTCTGGAGGTGGCGCAAGCTGCGTCCGTCGCCCGCTCCCGGCTGTCAGCGGCGCGGGGAGGCCAGGGCGCGGCGCGGGACCCCTCGGGAGTGAGACCGCCCTTCGGCTCCTGCCCCGGCCCGGGGAGAGCTGGGAGCAGCCGGCCCTCGGGCTCCGCGGAGCGCGTCGTTTCTCCCTTTTCCGCCCGGTTTAGAACTCGGCCGTCAGGTGTAGGGCGCGCCGGGGAGGCGGAGAAGCCCTGGAGGTGCCTGGCGAGGGCTGCCCGGTGCTGTTGGCACGGACCCAGGCGCGTGCGGGCAGCAGCGATGCGTCAGCTGCGAGCGGAGTTGTAGGTTCATAGTAAGCGGGGCTTCCTGCCTTCTACGACATTTCAGTGTGCCACCCGCGTGCTTGTATTTAGCCCTTCGGTTGCGCTCCTCTGCTGAGAAACCTTCAGTGCGTGTGACTTTTTTGCTTTTACGTGTGCGGTTGCCGACAGATCCCGAGAAGGCTGATAAGGTGTGACCCAGCCCTGGAACTTTGTAGGTTTTTATTTTGTAGCACTGCCTGTGGTAAGTTTTTAGTCTGACTTGGTGATCCTGGAAGACTCCCAGGGGCGTTTGGTCCCTGTCCTTAGTCGATAGGTATTGTACTTTAGGAAAGAAAGTCAAACTGTACAGCTTTTTTTTTTTTTTCTTCTGTGTTCTTAAGGAATACTGAAAGAGTGTGAACGTCTAATAGAAAGTAGGTTCCTTCCTATCTTAAGTGTCAAGTGAGGCCCGTTTTGGAAGTCTATGTCTTCTATTTCAGTTGTTGAATGAGAACAATTTTTGTGAGGTGTATAGCAATTCTAGTGCTAAAAGAAAAAGCTAAATCCTTTATTGTTGTGTAAGATTGAGTCCGAGAGAAGACCAACTACATTATTTCCATAGGAAAAACTTCAGTTTTAGGAATTTAAAATATATTCTGGAATTATGAGATTAATACTGCGTAATACATTGCAAGCTTTTTAGTGCATTTACAAATTTCTTTGAATAGAAGTGTAAGTGAGCTACTTGTTGGGTAAGGATTTGGTTTTAAGACAAGATGCAGTGAGTGTATTTTATTGCAAGTTTATGTAAGTTGTGTGATTTTTTTTACGTAGTTTTAGCTGGGGGGAAACCTTTGAGGAATTATGAAAAGTCCTAACTCAGCCATTCTCTTGAGATAATTTAATGTAAGCCTGTATGATGTGTTTTTTAATATTTCGTTTTTATCTTTTGATTGGCCATGTTTACAGTGAACATTTCCTCTACTGGATAAGTATGTGTAAGTTGCCATTAGGGACTCAAAAGTATGTGTAAGTTGCCATTAGGACAGTTTTAGGCCAGGAAATGTCCACAGTTTGAAGTTTTTTCTCCTTAGGGAAGTTGTTATGTTGCTATAGTAAGAGACTAATAATAGTGGAGAAGCAGGTTTAAAAAAAACAAGCAAAAACCCTACACAGTGACTTACTCATATATTTCCTTTTTTGGGGGTATTGGAGAATTACAGCTATGATTATAGAACACGTTGTTCTTGTGTTGCCAGTAAAAATGATAAGACTAGCCAGGGAAACAGAAAAGGTGTATAGATGGTATAACAGAGACACAACCCTGTCTGAGGAGAGAAGCCCTTTCTCTACGTGTCCTATCCCTCCTTTAGGAAGTTTTTAAGGAAAAGGCTTGTTTTTCATTTCAGGGGAGGTTTAGGCCAAGAGAGTGGTTGAGTAAACACACTGCTGTGAGAGAATGCCTGGTACTTAAATGCCCAATAGTTTGTTGTGTGTTTGAGTTTAAAGACGGAGATAATGGGGAGGATTGAGAGGTGACATTTGGTGTCTCGTTCCTTAATATTTTTTTAGTCAAAGGTAAATTGTTTGCTTGATGGAAACCTTTGTGTATTTAAGTGCACAGCTCAACACTGAGGAGACTCATTTAGAATCTACAGTCTACTTTTGCTTAGTTTATGATAGAAAAAAAATCATTTAACTGACTTATCCTAAATCATTCAAAACTTTCTTTTTAAGTGAAGGACTTTTAAAAGACAGTTTTGCAGAATTCCTTGTCATCTTCTGGTAGATTTATTTTAGTTATTTTGATTTGAGTTTGAGATGATTTCTCCAGGAATGACTCAGGTAATCATTCTGAGAGTGGATGGTTTTTCTTTTATACACCCAACACAACCATCTTGAAGATGAATTAACAGCATTTTGCAGAATTTTGCAAAAGCAGATACCAACTAGTTCAGTACTACATTTTTCTGTATACCTAGTATTAAAAAAAAAGTTTTATATAATCGTTAACATACAAAAGTGCATTTATGATGATGTAATGAATTCTGAAGTAGATCTCTTGTTGTGTTGGTAAAGAAAAAAGTAGACACCGCTTTACTTCAAATTCTGTTTAAACCTTGAAAGTAATTTTACCTGGATTTCAGATTTGAAAGTTGGTATTTTATGTGAAAGATTTTTTTTGCCTTTAACATTTTTTACATGATAAAATTCCGTTTGTAAGTATTACACATTTTATTTTTCTAACTATTAGCAGTTTTTTTGTTTTTTATTTTTTGAGATGGAGTCTTGCTCTCTTGCAGTGGCTTGATCTGAGCTCACTACAGCCTCTGCCTCCCGGTTCAAGCATTTCTCCTGCCTCAGCCTCCAGAGTAGCCAGAACTACAGGCATGCACTACCATGCCCAGCTAATTTTGAATTTTTTGTAGAGACGGAGTTTTGCCAGGCTGGCCTCGAACTCCTGACCTCAGGTGATCCACCTGCCTCGGCCTCCCAAGAGTGCTGGGATTACAGGCGTGAGCCATCGCACCTGACCCCATTAGCAGTTTTGTAGGGAAGTTTGAAGAGGAAAGTTTATAAAATGCTAAAATAAATTTCAAATATATTCTTAATGATCAGAGAGGAAAGTAAACCAAAATCCTTTTGTTGAGAGTGGCCCATAACAATAAATCAACAAAGAAAATTAAGCTCTCTGAAGGATCAAGGAACGTGTGGTGTCAACATCAGCTAGTGCATCTTTGTGTAGAAGCATATTATTAAGAAGCAGCACGGGGGAAAATTAGAGAATACTTCTCCTCTGGAGGGGTATGTAACACATTTTTAGGTGTTTCCAGTCAACTCTCTTTGTTTCCCAGTGGACATATGAAATGCTTGGGGTAATACCCCCAGCTCCTCTAAAGACAGGAATGTAATCTTTAATCGTATTTCTCCATTCCTTAGTTTTTAGGTAACTCTCAATTGCTCACAGAATAAAAGTCAGATTTTTTTTTTTTCGGTAGGACATACGATCTCTTCCATGATGTGCCGCTTCCTCTTGTTAACACCTGTTAATCTGTACACATCCATACTTTCTTCCCTGAGAAAGAAAACCTCTGCTCATACCCAAGGTTCGTTGTTCCTCTGTTTTTGCTGGCTAAGGTGAAATTCCTTATGACTCAGACCATGTTCCATGAGATGTTTTCCCGCAATTGTCAATCACTGGCTGCATTGTTTTAACATATAAATACCTCAGAGTCTTTCATTTTAAAAACAAATAAACAGACATGTACATCTTTGACCGTAACTCCTTCTAGTATATGTCTCTCCCTTTCCTTCATTTCCTTTGCATTCAGACTTTTTGAAAAATAGTCCATATTAATTGTTTTTCCAGTTATTCACTTTTTATTCTCTCCTTAGTCCACGGTACTTTTATCCTCACTACTTACTGCTAACTTAATCATTTCCAGTTTTTATCTTTTTTTTTTTTTTTTTTTTTTTTTTTTGAGACAGAGTCTTGCTGTGTCGTCCAGGCTGGAGTGCAGTGGCCGGATCTCAGCTCACTGCAAGCTCCGCCTCCCGGGTTCACGCCATTCTCCTGCCTCAGCCTCCCGAGTAGCTGGGACTACAGGCGCCCACCACCTCGCCCGGCTAGTTTTTTTTTTGTATTTTTTAGTAGAGACGGGGTTTCACCGTGTTAGTCAGGATGGACTCGATCTCCTGACCTGGTGATCCACCCGTCTCGGCCTCCCAAAGTGCTGGGATTACAGGCTTGAGCCACCGCGCCTGGCCCTCCAGTTTTTATCTCACTTGACCCCCCCCTGGCTCTTGACGTTACTGACAGTTTCTCTAAAAAAACCCTCAGTTCTTCTGGCTTCTATAATACCATTGTCTTCTCATTTTCTTCTTTGCTCCATTTATTGTCTTATTTGTGGCATTTTTCTCAGATGCTCATGTTTCTGAGATTCTGATTTGGTTTCATTTATCTCACTCTGTGAACTTTGTTCGTTTCATTGTTTTGAGGTTTTCTCTTTATCTTCCTTGCTCTTTGCAGGTATTGCTACACCCCCAAAGCCGTTTTAATTCACATTTTACAGTCAAGAGCACATACTCAACTTACTCACTATTTAGATTTGAATGTTGCAGATATTCTAAACTCAAAATATCTCAAATTTTTTACTACCCAAGCCTACTCGTCTTCCCATATTTTTTATTTTTATTTTTTTCAGACAGGGTCTTGCTCAGTTACTCAACCTGGAGTGCAGCGGCATGCACGTTCTTGGCTCGCTG